GTCCGGATTCTGGATGCGGTTCTCGAGCCGTTGGCAGCCCTGTCTTTCTGTTTCGCCAGCTCCTGAATGCCAGCTTTGCTGAGGGGGTGGGCATGGAATGCTACAGTAATTCGTACATCAGTACATCCCTTCATCCACTATGTTCGCCCTCGACGGAGCTGGGACAAATCACGTAGAACCAGAAGCTTCCAGGCCCCTCCCCTAACCAGAACTTGGTTTCTTCTTCTGGTCATTTGCACCTATGATTGTTCTTTCAGAACTTTCTGTTTTTATATGAATCATGGTTTGTATTGATTCATGTAGGTGCTTCTCAAAACTAGCTTCGAGGTGGTTGGCTTCCTTTTGGTGTCCTCTTACCATGTAACGTTGACCCCAAATTAATCACCCCCAGTTTATTAACATGGGGGTGTCAACCGTGAAATGTTTAGAATCAGACCGCTTGTGGACGGGCAAGAACCACCCCCCCAATTTAATACACAGGTTGTGTGATTAATATGAGGTCAACGTTAAACCTACTGTGGGTGCACGAGATCCTGCATTTTGAAGCTATGAGAAATCATAACGTTTGTTGGGTGTTTAAAAAGGGGAAGTCATCGGAAGCATCTGGTTGTTAGGTGTCCCGGGTTGCTGCACGGTGCGTTGGATTTCGCAGGAGGCATCCTCAGAGCTGAGCAGCCCGTATCAGAAGGCGCGGGAAGCGGCAAGCGGGAAGCTGACGGGCTTCCCGACCGACACCGGGGGGGGTCCTGTTTCTCCCTTTTTGGTGGGGGGTTTCTCCTTAAGATGAATTAGATCACCAAGAAAAATGGGTGCCTTTTCGGTCTGGGGTTTTTGACCCAGGGATTGTGGGGTGCCATTGCTATTTGCCATGTGGATGTGTGATGTTTTTGTTGAGGCTCGATGCCCTTTTTTCCATTTGGAAATTTGGAAGCCAAATGGATTTCGGCCCATTTGGGAAACTGGGGTCCGGACCCCATCAAACTTGTGGATTCTTCATTTTGCAAGCCCTCAGTTGTTTGTTCATGTTTGACCTACCGTATTCTTGATCGCGTTGTCTTGGCTTGGTTGAAAGCTGGCAGACTTGTTTCTTGTCTTGGCAGGTTTCGTTATCAGTCGAGGAATTATACAACTTTTTGCGGGCAGTCAACTCAGCTGGTCAGTTTCATGGCTTGAAGATTCCAATGTTTACAGCGTGTCGAACGCTGTTGTTGAGACTACTGAATGTCATGTTTTTGCTTGCCATTTTTGCTGAGCTCGGAATTAGATGCGAACAGGTTGGTTCAACATCAGGCTAGCTTGGCTTCGCGGTTCTTGTCGCGGGAATGTTTTGGGATGGTTTGTTGGCCGAGATGTGACTGCCAAGCGTTCCCCTGCACGAACGGTTTATTTGATTGTGAGATTGTCTGTATGGGTATGGCTCAAAATCAATCCACCGGAGATGGACCGCTGGTTTTAGTCCTTGGTTCCATTTACCAGGGTTGCGTATTGGGTACCACTTTTTAACCCACCGCCACAAGTTTGATAGTTTGAACTGGATGTCACGGGCGCTCGGGTGAGTGTTGCCCCATTTCAACCAGCCACATCTAGGAGCGAGGGTGCTCCTATGGGCAGGGATTTGCCCATACCAAGCAGCACCAACTTCGGCCAACCACAAAGCACCGAAACATCACCAAGCGCGGAAACGCGGAGCAACCAAGCCACAATCCGTTTCCAGCAACCACTTCCAGAAGCACGCAGAAGTCGGTCGCTCAACAAAACGCGCTCAGCCCAATGTGAGCTGCGCCTTAATCCTTCATTACATAAGCTATCCCCTTTTCTTTCTTTCTTTCTTTCCTTCTTTTTCTTTCTTTCTTTCTGGCTTCTGGGTCGATCCTGCGCCTGGAGCTATCCCCTAGTGGTTTGTTTCTAGGCATGAAATAGGATTGACCAAGCCTCCTTTTTGAACAGGGAACAGAAGCTCCTGACAGGTGGCATCCTTGCCATGTAGCTCCACGTCTATTGGCAGCGTTCCCACGCCAAGGAGCGCCTTCACGGGCTCGCATTGTTGGTTGGATCCTGGTTGTGTAGATTGTTTTTTTTTGTTTGTGTTCTTTTTGTGTAAGGGACTTCTCCTGTGGGCAACAGCCGCCCCAGAAAGGGCCACGAAACCAAAATGTTTAGTGAACACGAAAATCCTGACTTCTGACACGGTGTGTCCTTCACTTCCCTTTCTGGAAATTCCATCAGTGGCCCAATGGAAAACTTTCGCCAATTGATCAATTGAAGGGGACATCCAGCGACCCAACCTTTTCTGGACGAAAAATCCCTGTTGCTCCAGCGAACAATCCTTGGTGACATATCCGGCGAACCCTCAGAGACCAGATGGCCCAAGATCGAAGGACCGAGCGCAGTGGCTCCACCTGGGGCCGCCGGAATCTGGAGGCGAGACCCGACCCACGCCCTTGGTCAAGCCATGTAATATGTATATACATATATGTATATTAGTGTCGGTATCTGTGTCTGTGTCTGTGTCCGTGTGATTGTGTGTCTGTGTGTCTCTGTGTCTCTGTGTGTGTGTGCGCGCGTGTGTTTAATGTTTGTGACCTTTGTTTGTGTTTGTGGTATTACCGGACATCGAAAGGAGGACCAAGGCCATTTTCGGGGTCCCCTAGTTCAAGACACTCCCAAATTTCCAGGAGTCCCTTCTTATTTCCCATAGGGACCTCCGCTTTAGTGGCAAATGTTGGTTTGAGCTCACCAGATAGCTCTTCACCTTTTGAAGAATGCCTCATGATCTTACCATCAAGGTATATGTTAAAGGGAACGCCCCAGCTGCTGACTGTGATAAGCCTCAGAAGCACTCAACATCATGATGCTAGTGTTGACCCGGACATTTTTAAGCATCTTTTCCAACTTTTGCACTTCCAAGGGATCTACTGAGAGCGCTTGGTGCTTTCCACGTTTGGTGCCTTTTTCCAGGCTCCATGCCCTTTTTTGGTGCTGGTTGAAAGGGACACCAAGAGCAAAACCACCCAAAATGGGGGTGTCACAGCTAAACAAAACCCTTCGCACTTGGACTTCGGTTTCACCAGAGGGTTTCGTTTTTGCTCAGGCGGAGCTGCGGCAGCTGCGGATGCAGCTGTCAGAGGAGCGGAAGGCGAGCAGGGGTAAGCTTTGTAGCTAACCCCCCACCCCACCCCACCCCGCGACCCGAAGGCTTTCTTGTTGGGCTCATAAGCCGCCCTGCCAGGGGTGGACCTTGTTGTCTTTCGAGGTTCAGTAATTACGCATAATTACGCCGTTTGGGGGTGGTTTGGGAAACTAACGTCCATATGTATATATATATATATATATTATATCTTCCTGTGCTGGCCCATGAACTTGCACTTGTTGCTCATGATTCTGAATCGCGCATCAAAAGCACTCACGGGGGATAGCTTGGCGCTCAAGCGGGGTGATAATTTGGGGAAATGGTTTGGAGGGCGGAGCAGTTGTCCCCTAAAAGCGCGTTGTGCGGTTCGGATTTGTGTTACTTTTGCCAGTTCAAAATCCAAGATCTGATCTCCCCAGACAGCTCACACAGTCGCTGACACATGGTTCAACATGTTTAGCTTCTGGGCTGTGAAGCCAATGAGATCAGCAAATGCAGTTTGCCCAAGAGCCTGCAGAACAGAACCACTTGCTTTGCCATTGCTTTGCCATGTGAATAAATTAGATTATATTTAATGTAGCTCGACAGACATCAAGCGAGATTTCAAGTTTGGCCAAGCACTATATGTGACGCAACAGTTGTGAGTTGTGAGTGTCGAGAGCAACACATACACGATATTTATTGAATGCAGTCGTTTGTCTTTGTGAACAAGAAACCTCACCATTGCAACTCTGCCAAGGTACCTTTGCAGCATTGCGATGGTTTCTTCAAATTCGGGGTTACACATTGACCAAGATCAGACCTAGTGAAGGACATTGCCTCATCCTGCCCGTGAACTCACAGATGTTAGCCTTCAACGTTGCCGGATCTTGAGGACCTGCATGGCAAAGGATGGGCGTTGCGGGTATCCATGCTTCTTCTAACCGTACAATTTGAAGGGAAAGGGATGGCAACCCAGGGGTAGCTTCCCGCTTCACCGACCCTTCTTTCCAGAACACCACAAAAAGGTCTGGGGAAACAAAAACCCCAAAAACGACCAAAAGCGATAGGGAAAGGGCTGTGTCTTGAAAAGAAGGGCTGAAAAGCATGGTTGGAATCGGTTCCTTTCTAGAAAGCCACCAAAAGGTCTGGGGAAACGGCTTGTTCAGAGGAAGGGCTGAGCATATTTTTTGGACTCAAGCCCTGGAAGCGACTCGCTGAGGCCTCCCAGCAACTCCGGGCGGAGCTGCAGACGGCACGCCTAGAGCTGGGCCAGGTGGGAGATCCAAACACCGGGAGGTTGCGACCCCGGCGCCCCCGATTTGGGGAACCCCAAGTGGGGTGTCATTTGGCTGTGGTTGTCAAAACCCTGTACGCCTGGTGAACATCAAAGTAGGTAGTAAGTTTTCCCTTGGTGGATTGAATTTGAACTGCTGGGTCTTCCTGGATAATGGGAGACGGGCCGGGCTCAGAGGTGTGGTGCGCGGTTTGCTGTTTTTCTGTTCTGCTGATGTTTGGCGAGCGATTCCTCCGGTGAGTGGCAAAGGTGCGCGCGAAGGTTCATAGGTCGTTCACTTGGGGATCCACTCCTTTTTGGTTTTGGAAGTCATGTGGGTCACAGAATAATTAAGGCTCCCCTGAAACAGTTCCGGCACCAGTATTTGGTACCCTTTGAGAATCGGGTACCGAAATTATTCTAGGATTCGCCTGGTTGGTGGACAATTGATACCATGTTGGGGGCTTTGGCATCCCTGTTGCAGTCTGGGCAGCTTGGAAACTGAACGGTTGAGGATGGGTTTGGGGGAGGTTGGGGGCGTTGTGGCTGGTTGATTGAAAGGAGAAGGGGAGTAATTGAAGCCTTAGAGTTTGCGCAAAACACAAATCCGGGACTTTTGGTCACAAACAGACCTCGATTGAATCATCATGCAGGGTCGCTTTATGACTGTACCTAGGTTGATCAGATTATGTGCGCGCTTGCTTCGGCAACTATTGCATGATTGTGCTACCCTGGGTTCAACCGCTGTTCATGCTGAGTGAAAGTAGATGGTTGATGGGTGTGCTTTCGAAGGAATCGGATGGTGTCCGAAAGTGGCAGTTTGAATGGAAACCACGGGAAATTCAGTGACCTCTCCGTCAGTGCCTCATGGTCCGACAATGGCATGACTGGGGGCGCTTGCCCAAATGCCACGAAAACAACTGGCACATGCAGAGCCAGCCGATCTTTTGCTGTACCTGAAGTCTGTTTTGGATGCCATTTTCCCACTTTTCCACAAGCCATCTAATCCAGTTCGGATCTCTTTCTCCCTTTCTGTTCTGGGTTTCAGCCTTGCAGGTCAAGAATGAGATAGATGTACAGCGGGACCGAGATGCGCTGCTCGCAGAGGAACGCGAACGCCGTCCTGAGGGGGGCCGCATATGCCGGTCTGTTTGCTCGCTGTTTGGGCGGTGACAGCACCGCCTGGGCGTTTGCGTCTGTGCCCTCCGTGAGTTCAAGCAAAATCTCTCTTGAATCTTGGGGCACGCCCAACTTCGTCCGGGGTTCAAGTACGGCAACGGAGCTGCTCTATAAAGACCCTCATCTCTGAAGACTTTGGTTGGGAGATAGGAGCTGAATGCCACTTGGACCAGCTAAGTGAAGGCGTCAAGACGTTCTTATTTGAACTCTTGCGAAAGTTCCCTCAGCCAGTTGTTGCATGCGTATCACGTAGACACTTGCCATATTCAAATGATATGACCAGAATGGCCTCAAACAAGTTACTTCGAACGACATGCATAGTGACGCTCAGAATTCTTGTGCCATGGCCCCTGGTCAGTCTTGCGCCGCTTTGCACACCATGCAGGGACGGCTCAATGTTGGCAGTTGGGCGTGCCATGTTTTTAGGAATCAACCCCAACGAAATTGTGGGGGTCCTTTTGGTTTCCTACAAAACCACCCTCAAAGCACCAAATTTTAACTTGGGCCCGGGTCAGCTGGGGAAGCTTTTCCGCTTTCTGGTGAAGGGCCGATGTAATGAGCCTTCAATCGAATACAATGTCCTTAGCATAGTGGCTAACAGCAATGGTCATCCATTTGGCAGTAAGGATCCTGAATGGCCCTTTTCATGATTCCCATTGAGGAAACAATGACAATAGGCCGTGTAAGCAGTTTTGACCATGGCACATATAGATGGCCTTGTTAGTTTGGTTTGGCAAGAATAGATGGGTTGCACTGAGATGGGTGTCATGCCCCATTTACCAGGTCCATCTAAGACTTTATATTTCCAGAAGGTCATAACTACATGTATGGCTGCTGGAATTGCTCATAATGTGTCACATGATTTGGAATTGTCCCTCGCTTCTTCCTGGTAGGCTGTTGGTTTGGGTCTAATGAGAAGCCTCGTCATGTTTTCCAAACCTTACATGATCCACCCCGTAAGCGGGCCCCGAAGGCCTCCTGACGGTCAGGTGCAGGCGCAAACCCCGGGTCCAATTAAGCCAAAGAGCCTGTGATGAAACCAGGGTCGACCTGCCAGACGGGAGTTGGGAAAAATGCAAAGCTTTTGCATAGGAATTGGTTTGACACACACACACACATATGCGCGTGCTCTTTTCTTTCCATGCTATAGTTCCGTCTGGCTGTCTTCCTGATGTGCGCGAGAGGTGCAAATTATACCCATTTTTGGCCGTCGAAAGAAATAATCCACAGACAGATGATGTGGTGGGCGATGTGTGCATGTGCGACGAGTATCCCTCTGCACCCTCCCATGTCCTCCCAAACAAGCAGGCACCACACTGACCGAACACTGCACATTCCTGAACACATTGGAAGGCACCAACGATAGTACTTGGACAACGGCCCGACTTTGCTTTTGTTGTCCTTCTCTCTCTCTCTGTCTATGCATTTGATGAGGCTCACCGACATCGTTTGTAAGCAAGCTGTAGGCCGCGACAATGTGCTGCTGGCAACTGTTTGCATGTCTTGGGCGACCATATGAGCGTGGTTTTACCCGACTGTTTTTGCATGAGCACGAAATCAGGCCGCGTAATTACTGGTCCCTAAGGCAGCCGGAGCCTCGCTGCATGCGTTCGATTCGAGGTGTCCGAATTACGAACCGCTTTGCTTTTGTCATCCATTCCCAGCATGCCAAGCTGGCGATACGGCTTGTATTTCCAGGCGCTCGGCAACCTATGGTTGCGTTGGGCATTTTGCGTCATCGAGTGAGCCACCCATCTGTGGAAGTTTGTTGCTGAAAAGCGTTCGGGAGCGCCGGCACTCGAACACTAGGCTTGGGCATGGGGATGTGATGGACAAAGGGCTTGGGAGAACAATGGAAAGCCAATGAGCCATGCGAGCTGTCCATGGCACGCTACCGAAGATCCTCAGATGGTTGGAAGCATGCGACCTTGATTTG